CCAATCGGAGCTGCGCTGCAGGAGTGGGGGGGCACAGGCCAGAGCGCTCCAATAGGTGCCGGAGCCCGGGAGTCTTTCCCCGCCCGCCCACTCCGCCTGCCGCCTGGCCCCCAGCATCTGGCCCTCAGCCCTGGAAGTGCGACGGCACGGGACGGCGGTGGTTGGCACCGGCCCCGCCTTCCTCGTCTTGGCCTACAAACTCAGCGCAGCTGTCCTAGCCCCGGCCCACCCCGGGGGGCTTCTGGCCATGTGGAAGAGTCCTTTCTGGACTTAAGAGTGCGCGCAGTCGCCTGGGCCCGCCCTGAGGACCCAGCCCCTCGAAAGCCCGTTGCCTGCCCCAGCGGGGGATGCAACCTAAAACTATAGGTGCCACGGTCTTCCCTCGCCTTCAGCCCGCCCCCTGAGGCCCAGGCCTTGTAGGGCAAGGGAGCAAGGAGGTTCAGGCTGTTCTTGTACCAGCCCACGTAGAAATTTTTAGTCCAAGCACACCAATTCCGCCCACCCCCACCCCCAAACACACACACTCCCCTACCCTTTGCGACTCCGGAGGTCCCAGGACTCTCCCAGCTCATTCCCTCCCCTCATCGCCAAAGCTGAGCCCCTTCTTAGCCGCCAGGAACATAATTTAAAACAATTATGGTAAGGGAAGGGGGATCTCTAAGCTGACATTTTGTAGGTGCCAACTCAAAGACCTTACCTTCCTAGAGGAAAGGTGGTGTGTCCTGGCAAAGAGGCTTTTGGGAGGAGTATGCTGAGGAGTATGGGGTTCCTGTGTGAGGCGACTTGGCGGGCAATCGGCCTCAGGGTGCTACAGGCAGGCAACAGACCAGTTCCCCGTGATTTGGGAAAGTCCCAGGACCTTTCTGAGCTTCAGTTTCCCCAGTTCACTACATTGACCGACACGGAGTGCAAACTCTTTAGTAAAATGGTGTGCTGTTCAGTAAGAATCCTGTTGAAATTCTATCAGGTACACAGCCCAGCAGGTCCTCAGCAAGGTTGGTAACAGTGGGGAGTGGGGTCGTTGAGAGTTAAGTGGGCCTGGCTCCCTACAAGGCTGGGAAAATGTTCCTCCCCTCCCAAGATGTGTACTTCTGGGCTCACCCACCAATTCAGTAAAGCCTGGCTCTGTCAACATCCCCTGGGAATCCCTGAGTGGGAGAGGGTGCACCAAGATCATCCCTTTCTTGGGGTTAGGAGGGATTTGACAGAGACTTACCTGAAACCTGCTGCTCTTTGCTTCCCCCACAGCACGATACCAAGTAGCACCAGCTCTCTAACTACTGGGGTACAAAGGGCATGCAGAGTAGCTGAGCCACCCTGGCTTCTCCTGTACCTGGACCGGGCTGTGTCACGGGGAGTGCCCAACTGTCCTTGGGCCAGCTGGAGCAGCTCTGATAAGCCCAAGTCCTACACCTGTTCATCAGCCCCTCCCTGCCACGCAGCTCCTTCTGGACCCACCAGGTCAAAGGGACAGGATCTTCTTCCAGGTCAGCTTCTTACCAACGATACACAGGCAGTTCAGAACCCCACCAGGGGTTGAATCCCTTATTCTCCAGACACCTTTAAAACACAAGCCCTCCTCATTAAGACCAGTTCCACCGTTTGTATAGAACACAAATAACGGCATGGCCTTAGCACAGCTCAGTGAGGATCAATCAAATGGAACAGTAGGGAGAGATCAGACTGGTCTATTACATCCTGCCCATCTTCAGGCAGGGGAACCGAAATGAAGTGCTCTCAGCCAGAAGTGTCCCTGTTCCCCGTGTCCCACGGTGCCTACCTTAATATACAACTTGACAAGGCCCCCATCACTTTGGAACAGCTTCCTGTGTCCTGCCTTGCTGATTCTTACAATACGTGACCCTGCCCCCATGTGTGTGATTCTATGTACAGCCCCAGCCTGACCCTGGGCCACTTGGGCTCCTTGGGGCAGACACAGCCAATCCTCTGCTCAACACATTTTATTGCTAAGGACAAGGTGATGCACCGGTTTTCAAAATAATTTGGTTTATAGCGTTCATACGTAACAAAAAAGAGGGAAGTATTATAAATTTGATTTTTGTATACATAGGGTGTAGGAGTAAAGCCCTCCAATCCTGGCCCCAGGCAAACAAATTCATGAGGAGCAAAAACCTGTTTAACCCCTTCAGTGTTGCCCTCTAGTCCCACCCTCCCTCCCTAAATCAGCTCCCTCCCACCCCTAGACCAAGGGCACATCTAAACCTGCCCCTGGCCTCCAGTGGCCCCAGTTCATCCTAACCCTCCCAGCCCCTACATGATTGCAATTTGTGTTGACAGAATCACCCACCAGGCTCTGCCTGCTTCCATCATTAATAGCTCCCCCTTCAGGGTATTCCCCACCCACACCCTCTTAATACTGTGCCGCAGAGGCTCTGTGCGTGGAGTGTCCTGGGCACACATCCATGTTACCCTATGCTCTCCTTCAAGGGAGGACAAAGAGGTGGCATCAGCTCCTTAGCACCCCAATACTACAGCTTGACCAGCACTCTTGAGGATGTTCCAGGCCTGGGCAGCTGCCGTACCCATCTCCAGCCAACCCCCAGGGGCCCTTACTCAGCTCAGTGAGGGCACAATTTCACATTTTGTTTGCCCTGCATAGGCAAGGAAGAAAGTAAAGGCCAGGGGCTGGCAGAAGCTGGTCCAGACACACACACACACACACACACACACACACACGCACGCACACGCACACACCACACACATATAAATACAAAAGGAGGGGAGGGGACAAGCACCAGCACCTCTGCCTAGTCGGTGCAGGTGATTGTTAGGAAGCTAAGTCCTAGGCCAGGGGCAGGGCAAACAGCCCAGCCAGCACAGCTGACCCCGCATGGACAGGAGCCAGGGCAGCCACAGCATTCCAGTGCTCAGCCCCTCAGCTGGGAGATCAGCGGCTGCTTCCTTGTGTCCAAGGATAGTTTGTCCTTTCACGGATCATCAGCGCAACGTGATGAGGGTGGGGTGAGAAGATGATGGGGTTGGTATTTCATTCCTTTTCTTTTTACAACTTCACTTTTAGAGACTTCAGAGTTCCGAGTGTCTGCTGTGCTGTGGAACCTCCAGAGTGCACTCGCCTGTTGGCTGGGAATCTCCTGGACCCTGGAAGCAGCTACTCCATGATGGCCCGGTAGAGCGCAGGCTCGATGTAGTCTTCCCGGTATCTTGAGTTGATGACTCGCTGCCGTTTCTTTTCTTGCTTAACCTCTTTCTCCGTGAAAATCTCATTGAAGCGCATATCTGAGGCTACTGACTACAGAAAAATAGGCAAGCCAAAAATCACTTTGTGGTCAACCACCCCAAGGAAAAAATGAAGGGACACATTCTTGCCTTGTTCCCTCCCTCCCAAGAGTACATAGAAAACACACACTTACCAGTCTAGACTTGACTCTCTTGGGAAGCTCCTCATCCAGCGTGTAGACATCATCCCTCTTAACGACAAGCTGTGAGCCATCCTCAAATTCCACCTACCAGGGAAACAGACACTTTTGGCTGGGATATCCCTGACTCTCCCTGGCCCACCGTGCAGTGGCAACTTCCCGTAGCCAGGGGAGGATTTAGAAAACAACAATGAGGACTACTATGTCTGAAGCCACACCTGGCCGGACACAGGACAGCCCCCAACTGCTAAAAGGACTGTTATCAACCTGTTCAATCTCCCAAGATCTAACACTTGCCTCTGGCCCTGGAGAAGGCACTGAATTATTCTAATCAAGTGCCCTCATCTAGCAAGAATTTTTTTTATATTTTAGGCTTTTGCCATAAGATGCATACCATTACTGGAGACAGACAGAGAGAGAAAGAGACACACAGATCACTCCCCGGGGATATGGGCACACCACAATCCCTGCTCCTCTTGGGATTTGGGGCATGTACACACACCCCGAACCCAGCAGTCCGTCATGTGGGAGTCCAGCGCCTTAGCCATATATGTACCACCAGCTGGTCCCAAGAATAATTTTTTTTTTTAAGATTCTTTGCCATAGGGCACATGGGGGGTGGATGGCCATGTCATCTCTTCAATCTCCTTTCGAGATTTTGGACAAGCACACACACATAGCCAGTATGTTCTTCAGGCTACAGCATCTGGGATTCAAACTGCAGCCAGCCATGTGGGATCCAGCACCTTAACCACCATGCCGCCTGCTGACACGCTAGCAAGAATTTCTGACTACCTGGTACATCTGGATGGGGTGGGAGGCCACAAACTTGGCTCCATAGACTTGGCCGTCTGTCCATCTCACTTGGACAACTTCCCCTTCAGTAGGACCCAACTGGAGACAGTCCTGGCTCTGAGGAAACAAAAAGAAAAGTGTAAGGAAGTTCTGCTTAAACACAGTAGTAACCGTCATCTATCCAGAGAAGAATAAACTAGAACAAATTCTTCCTCGCACACTCTTAAGCAAGACAGCTCTCTCTGGGCTAAAAGAAGCAACAGACGAGCTTACTAAGTCAACCTCTTCCCCAGATCTCTGACCCCTGCTGCTTCTAGACCACAAGGGCGTGGGGGCAGCTGATAAACTTAACCTAACAAACATATGAAGGTCTTCAAATGTTCACAAAAAATGTATGTTATGAAAAATTACGCATGGATTTCAACATTTTTTGAATCAAGATAAACCTGAACTTTAATTCCTTTTTCACAAACGTTCTCAAGTCCCCTGGTAGGAGACAAGTGCCTGAACCAAGAGCCCTTCTCTCATTCCCTCAACTCTCCCTCTAAGGACTCTCTGGGGCTCTGCCATGAAGAAGTGCTAGAACTACACTCAACCATATTTTTGTAAATGTGGTTTTTTTTCTTTTTAACGTTATTTTTATTTTCCAGTTTGACCAGAGAGACAGAGAGAGAGGGAAAGTGAAAAAGCAAGCCATGAGATCCAGGACTCAAACTATAGTCAGTCATGTGGGAGTCCAGTGCCCATAACCACCATGCCACCTGCCGACCCCATAAATGTGTTCTTAACAAGTAAGGTAAGAAAAGATAGGGATTACCTACCATGGGACTTGGCAATGGCAACTTTGTGTGTGTGAGAGAGAGAGATTTTTGCTATAGGGAGTGTGTACTTGCCAGAGAGACAGAAAGCGAGAAATCACCCCCCCCAGGGGGGATGGTCACGCTGCAATCCCTTCTCCTCCATTCTCCAATCGGGATTTTGGGCATGCACACACACATGCCCGGTGAGTTTTAAGTCACACGGTCCAGGACTCAAAACTTGGTTGACCACATGGGAATCCACCAATATAACCATTACTCCATCTGCTGGTCCCAGCAATGGCAACTTTTAATTCTTCCAAAAGGGGGAACCCCAAGGCAAACCCTCACCATATCCCAGCTTAAGGCTTGGTATTTAGCTGGGAGGTCAGTGTACAAAAATACTGGTTGGAAGGACCCATGGGTAGACCTGAGGACAAGTCTTTAGGGACATATCCTAAAAATTACACATCACAGAGGAGCAGGGGCAGTGAGTCTAAAAGAATATAGATATTCACAGCTGCTTTTACCAATCACACCACACAGCAAGAGTTAAAAAGGTTCTGTTCTGTCCTGACAGTCTATTTGTTAACCAGGAATGGTTTTATGGCATATGACCAGTCCATTCCCTGAGCAGGCAATCAATAAGTAAATCTTGTATGAATCTAATAATTTAAGCAGAAACTGGAGCCAGCCCTCTAAAGAAAACTAAGGTAAAAGAGTTTCTCCTTTGGTTTTGTTGTTTTTTATTGCCAGAGAACACATGCACTTACCAGAAAGAGACAAGGTGAAAGCAAACCCTAATTGGGCATGGTCACACCATGATATCATTCCTCCATCCTGTCAGGATTTGAGCAAGCATGCACACGCTCCCAGCATGTTCTTCAAGCTGCCAGGGCAGGACTTGAACCACAGTTGGTCATGTAGGAGCCAGCTTTCCTAAACAATAGTCTCTGGGGCCAGCCACATGGTAGAAGTTTTAACCAGGAAAACATGTACTTCCCCTCTCCCCCAAATTTTTGCTATAGGGTACATGCACTTGCTGGAGAGGCAGAGTGACAGAAAGCAAGAAACTGTCCCCCAGGAGGATGGTCATACTGCAATTCCTTCTCTGTTCTCCTCCTGGGATCTTGGGCGCACATGCACCCGGCCTGAGTATGAAGCCACCAGGTCTGGACCTTGAACCACAGTTGACCATACGGAAGAGTCCAGCGACATAACCACTACCCCACCTGCTCGTCCCCTGGTGTGAGTTTTAAGCCACCAGGTCCAGGACTCAAACCACGGCTGACTATGTGGGAGTCCAGTGATGTAACCGTTATGCCATCGGCTGGTCCCAACATGTAATCTTTGATAAATCACTTGCAGTTTTCTGCGATTCAGCTTCAACTCTTACAGCAGTGACTTCTGAAGTGTGGTCTACAAACCTGTGACAGATTTCTGAGAGACTTTCATGGACTGCATGTAAGGCTGTGACTATTTCATAACAGTAAACGTTACACTTTTCACTGTGGTGACATTTGCAGTGAGGGTGTAGAAACTATAATGAGTACAACTCCTGGCACATGGGTGTAAGTCAAGGTGGCTGCCCCAAACTCTAGTTGTTGTTATTGTCTTTACCAGTGTACACTCATAATTTAGGGGGGAAAAACCTGGCTTCTCATAACCATTTCTCTCGATTAAGCAGTAAAAATTATTAATGTGGGGGTGCCAGCCAGTAGCATGGTGGTTAAGGTGGCTACAATCCCACCTGGCCAGCTGTGCAGTTTGAGTCCAGGACCTGACAACTTGAAAAACACAGCAGACACGTGTGTGCGTACGTGCCCAAAATTCAGAGAGGAAACTGGAGAGAAAAGGACTGTTGTGTGGCCATCCTCCTGTGAGGGTGATTTCTCACTTTCTTTTGCTCTCTCTGAAAAATGCATGTGCCCTACAGCAAAACTAAAAAAAATAATAATAATAAAAATTATTGGGGTTAGCAGATGGCATGGTGGTTAAGGTACTGGACTCCCACATGGCTAAGCACAGTTCCAGTCCTGGACCTAGCGCCTTGAAAATCACATTAACACACGTGCATGCATGGCCAAAATCCTGAGAGGAGAATGTAGGAAAAAAGACTGAGGCACTGCCTCGGGATTTTGGGCATGCACACACACATGCCCGGTGAGTTTTAAGTCACACGGTCCAGGACTCAAAACTTGGTTGACCACATGGGAATCCACCAATATAACCATTACTCCATCTGCTGGTCCCAGCAATGGCAACTTTTAATTCTTCCAAAAGGGGGAACCCCAAGGCAAACCCTCACCATATCCCAGCTTAAGGCTTGGTATTTAGCTGGGAGGTCAGTGTACAAAAATACTGGTTGGAAGGACCCATGGGTAGACCTGAGGACAAGTCTTTAGGGACATATCCTAAAAATTACACATCACAGAGGAGCAGGGGCAGTGAGTCTAAAAGAATATAGATATTCACAGCTGCTTTTACCAATCACACCACACAGCAAGAGTTAAAAAGGTTCTGTTCTGTCCTGACAGTCTATTTGTTAACCAGGAATGGTTTTATGGCATATGACCAGTCCATTCCCTGAGCAGGCAATCAATAAGTAAATCTTGTATGAATCTAATAATTTAAGCAGAAACTGGAGCCAGCCCTCTAAAGAAAACTAAGGTAAAAGAGTTTCTCCTTTGGTTTTGTTGTTTTTTATTGCCAGAGAACACATGCACTTACCAGAAAGAGACAAGGTGAAAGCAAACCCTAATTGGGCATGGTCACACCATGATATCATTCCTCCATCCTGTCAGGATTTGAGCAAGCATGCACACGCTCCCAGCATGTTCTTCAAGCTGCCAGGGCAGGACTTGAACCACAGTTGGTCATGTAGGAGCCAGCTTTCCTAAACAATAGTCTCTGGGGCCAGCCACATGGTAGAAGTTTTAACCAGGAAAACATGTACTTCCCCTCTCCCCCAAATTTTTGCTATAGGGTACATGCACTTGCTGGAGAGGCAGAGTGACAGAAAGCAAGAAACTGTCCCCCAGGAGGATGGTCATACTGCAATTCCTTCTCTGTTCTCCTCCTGGGATCTTGGGCGCACATGCACCCGGCCTGAGTATGAAGCCACCAGGTCTGGACCTTGAACCACAGTTGACCATACGGAAGAGTCCAGCGACATAACCACTACCCCACCTGCTCGTCCCCTGGTGTGAGTTTTAAGCCACCAGGTCCAGGACTCAAACCACGGCTGACTATGTGGGAGTCCAGTGATGTAACCGTTATGCCATCGGCTGGTCCCAACATGTAATCTTTGATAAATCACTTGCAGTTTTCTGCGATTCAGCTTCAACTCTTACAGCAGTGACTTCTGAAGTGTGGTCTACAAACCTGTGACAGATTTCTGAGAGACTTTCATGGACTGCATGTAAGGCTGTGACTATTTCATAACAGTAAACGTTACACTTTTCACTGTGGTGACATTTGCAGTGAGGGTGTAGAAACTATAATGAGTACAACTCCTGGCACATGGGTGTAAGTCAAGGTGGCTGCCCCAAACTCTAGTTGTTGTTATTGTCTTTACCAGTGTACACTCATAATTTAGGGGGGAAAAACCTGGCTTCTCATAACCATTTCTCTCGATTAAGCAGTAAAAATTATTAATGTGGGGGTGCCAGCCAGTAGCATGGTGGTTAAGGTGGCTACAATCCCACCTGGCCAGCTGTGCAGTTTGAGTCCAGGACCTGACAACTTGAAAAACACAGCAGACACGTGTGTGCGTACGTGCCCAAAATTCAGAGAGGAAACTGGAGAGAAAAGGACTGTTGTGTGGCCATCCTCCTGTGAGGGTGATTTCTCACTTTCTTTTGCTCTCTCTGAAAAATGCATGTGCCCTACAGCAAAACTAAAAAAAATAATAATAATAAAAATTATTGGGGTTAGCAGATGGCATGGTGGTTAAGGTACTGGACTCCCACATGGCTAAGCACAGTTCCAGTCCTGGACCTAGCGCCTTGAAAATCACATTAACACACGTGCATGCATGGCCAAAATCCTGAGAGGAGAATGTAGGAAAAAAGACTGAGGCACTGCCATCCCACCTAGGGGACGATTTCTCACTTTCCCTCTGTGTCTGTGAAGTGCATATGCTCATGGCAAAAACCATATATATACCGTGTGTGTGTGTGTGTGTGTGTGTGTAGTATATATATTAATTTTATTAACTCTTTAATTCTTGAGTACCTGAGCAAATACTCACGTAACAATTTAGCTGCATCCCAAAGGATTGCTGTTTTGAGGGAAAACTTCTGTGCCATCATTAGAGTCGTGAGCTGCACTAGCTACTCAAGGAGCACCAGTTTGATTAAACAAAATGACACACAAGCTAGTTGGTCAAACGTGGGGATCTGGAGGACATCTTACACAAGACGAACAAAGCGAGCCTCACTTCAAGGAACATAAGGTGACATCCACTGACAATAAAATTGAAGTTTTCAAGCAAAAATGTGAATTTTAGAAAAGCTGCATCACTACTGTGAGCTTGAAGAGTCTCCGAATTTAAAATCTCCTGAGATTAGTGTATTGACAAACATCATTCTTCGGTATCTGTAATAAAACTTAACAACATTTGGTAACTTGCATAGCCCAGTGCACCAATACTTTCTAAATGACCCATGCAAGATTATTTTTAAAATCACACATGCCTCGGGAACCAGCAGTTAGCGTAATGGCTATGTCGCTGGATTCCCACGTAGTCGACCGCGGTTCATGTCCCGGACCCAGTGGCTTAAAACTCTCGCCGGGCGCGTGTGCGTGCGTGCCCAAGATCCCAAGAGGAGAATGGAGGAGAAGGGATTGCGGCGTGACCATCCCCCCTGGGGGGTGATTTCTCGCTTTCTGTCTCTATGTCTCTCTCTGTCTGTCTGGCGAGCGCACGCACCCTATAGTGAAAATCTCTCAAAAAAAAAAAAAAAATCACACATGCCTGAAAGATGTATTCTAAAGTCAAGATAAAGCAAAGGATTTTAATGTTATAGAGTATAAAAAGCTTATTGACCCACTTTCAGCATCTACACTGCAACCCACTTTGTGCATGTGTATTTTGCTTTCTTTTTTTAGATTTTTTTGTCATAGGGCACGTATGCGAGACAGAGACAGAGAGAGGGGAAGTGAGAAATCACCCACTATGGTGATAACCGTGCTGCAATCCCACCTCCTCCATTCTCCTCTCAGGATTTTGGGCATGCACACACTCATACCTGGTGTGACTTTTTTCTTCTTTTCTTTTTTTCTTGAAGAATTATTTATCATCATTATTAACTTTAATTTGTTACAGGGCACAAATGCTTACCAGAGAGAGACAGAGAGAGAGAAAGTAAGAAACCAAGCTTCCAGGTCTAGGACTCGAAACGCAGTTGGCCATGTGGGAGTCCAGTGCACCAACCACCACACCACCTGCTGGCCCCCATAGCAACCCACTTTTAAACTGCCATTCGTTGAATTTTGATGGAGTATCACAGAATAAAAAAAAAAAATGATCTGAACAGCTATTAAAATACTCCTCCCCTTTCCAAATATACACCTGTGTGAGACTGAATTGTCTTCCTATATTTTAACTAAACAAAGCATTACAACAGACTGAAATTATCAACAGAAGTGACGTTGGGCTAGCCAGTGGTGTGGTAGTTAAGGCAGTTAGAGCCCACATGGCCAACTGCACAGTTCAAGTTGGAGACACATGTATGTGCGTATCCAAAATCTCAAGAGGGAAATGGAGAAGAGACTGTAACATGGCATACACCCTGGGGGTGCTTTCTCTCTCTCCTGTGAGGACACATGCCCTATAGCAAAAAGAAAAAGTGACATTATAGATTTGCAAAACTGTAGAAACTGCATCCTTCTCACCAATTGTTTTTAGAAAAGTTATTTCTCACTTAAAAATAGATTATTTTGGGACCAGCAGTTAGCGTAATGGCTATGTCGCTGAACTCCCACGTAGTCGACTGCAGTTCGAGTCCTGGACCCGGTGATTTAAACTCACGCCGGACACACGTGTGTGAGTGCCCAAGATCCAGAGAGGAGAATGGAGGAGAAGGGACTGTGGTGTGGCTATCCTCCCCAGGGGGTGATTCCTCACTTTCTGTCTCTCTCTGTCTTTCTGGCGAGTGTATGCACCCTACAGCAAAAACCTCTAAAAAAAAAAAAAAAGTTATTTTAATAAATTAATCTTATTTATAATAAATAATAGAGTAAATATTGATAAATACAACCCACAAAAACACAAGCTCTTAGGGGTCCTCAACAACTTTCAGGACAGAAAATCCTAAAATAATTCTTCTATAAATTAAGAGAGAATACCGCCTACTTCTCAATGTTGGTACGAGGAGTGAAATGCTTGACATAAAGTACTTAGCACAGTGCCTAGTAAACAGTGTATAATTAGGCAGAGCTGTATCCCTGCTGCAAACATTACTAATATTGTCTTCACTATGACATACTCTCCCACCTTGTAACTAATGATTGTGCTTTTAGCAACTAAATTACTAATGTGGTATAAATAAAGGAAATACTCAACTTATTAAATGAAGAAATGGCTTTGTTTCTCTACCTTGGGGTTTAGTCTACTACAGGAAAAGGGACGGTGGCAGAGCCAGCAGTAGTGTAGCAGGTGCATGCTGGACTCCCACGTGGCCCACCACAGTTTGAGTCCTGGTCCTGGTGGCTTAAAAAATCACATTGGGTACGTGTACGTACGAACCTAAAATCCCAGGAGGAGAATAGAGGAGAAAGGATTATGGTGGCCATTTCTGTGGGGTAGTTTCTCTTTGCCTCTATCTCTTTCTCCTCTCTGGAGAGTGCACATGCCCTATGGTCAAAGAAAAGGAAAGAAAAGAAAAGGCAAGGTGTCACACAAGAAACCTGAACTAAGTCCTAAATACTGAGCCAGGAAACCTAGGATTGAGTCCAGGTAAGGCCTCTTGTTGTTCCAGGTGTTGATAACATAAGCAGGCCAGGGTGTCTCCAAACGGTTTCTACGTAGCCCCACGCCCTTGACTGTGAAGAACCAAAATCAGACACATCTATAAGAGGGCATGGCAGGAAAGAGACCTGGATAATTCTCCTAAAACCACACAGTCACTGAGTAGCCAAATTGGTAGTGACACAGTTTTGTGATCCCAAAGCCTAGAGTCTGCTGTGCTAGAACATCTTCAAGGATGATTTAGACGGAAATACATTACACGTTCCAAGGAACTGCAAAAAATGCTGAGTTCCATGAATTTCTAGAAGAAGCACGGTATCTCAGTAGCACACAATTTCCTTTGCAAAGAAGAACAAGTACAAAGGCCAGCAGATGGCATGGTGGTTGAATTGAACTCCCACATGGCCAACCATAGTTCAATACCCAGACCTGGTGGCTTGCTCTCTCTCTCTCTGTCTATAGAAAATAAAAATAATAATAATAAATAAAAGTTTTAAAAATTTTAAACATTAAAAAAGGAAAGAAAGAAAAAGAAAAACCAGTACAAATGTTTTTTCTGTTTGGAGATAATTAAAGGGGGTAGGAAAGGGCTCCAAAGGCAGGTAGATAGGGACCAGCAATTAGTGTAATGGCTCTGTCATTGGACTCCCATGTAGTCGACCATGATTTGAGTCCCGGACCTGGTGGGTTAAACTCACGCTGGGCACATGTGCATGCGCACCCAAGATCCCCAGAGAATGGAGGAGAAGGGATTGTGGTGTGGTCATCCCCCCTGGTGGTGATTTCTCACTTTCTGTCTCTCTGTCTCTCTCTCTTTCTGGTGAGTGTACACGCCCTATAGCAAAAACCTTACACACACAAAAAAATGGCAGGTAGATCAGTCTGCCAGCCATACCTAGAAACATCTCCCATCCCAAACTGCTCGGGAAACTCCTTGCAGACATTACCACTATGTCCTCAGGATACAGATTGTCGCTGAAGGAGCCATCATCAAAGTTGACTTCATAGAAGGTCTCGGTGGTGAGCCTGACCACTTCACACTGGTAGAAGCGCCCATTCTTATGCTTACTGATAACCTTCTGGCCTGCGGTGATGCTCTGCAAGGCCCCCTTGGCACGCTGGAAGAAACACAAGCTTGTGTTACTCATGTACTGAGTTAAGGTTGACAGGCCTGGCAAATGGGACCAAGATCAATTAGCTCCTCTTTAGCAGGGAAAGATAAGCATGGGAATGGACAAGTCAAAAAGGAAGAGCTACAATAGACCTTTCCAGATATCCACATCCTAGCCAAGACACTGAAGAAACCAATATCATGTTTTCCTCCACAAGTTTAGCTTCTCTCTACCTCCCAGTCCACGCCTGGTTCTTACCCCTGCCATACTGTCTTACCCAAAGTCCCAGAACAGACCCAGGACTTTCCTGTTGTGGCTAGGAGCCAATCAGATAGCACATACTAATACACATAGCTAAGTCACCCAGCAAAGCAGAGTCAATAGGTGACCTCAGGCTCTGGGCCCCCAGGCAATGTTCCACACAGCTCTTAGCACTAGCTCTACCCTCAGGGCTCAGGCACAAAGACTGATATTTCCTGGAAGTCCCTAGTGTCATACAATAAACTACGTTCATTACAAGGTCCTACCATCTCTGCAGCTCTCCCCCCTTCTCATTCTGAGCCTCCTTTTGGGATCTCAAAGCATATCCAATTTCCAGTCATACCTGCCCAACCTGCCCACCAGCCATGCTACCCCCTGCCGTTCTCTGAACACATGTACCACACGTGCTCCTGCCTCAGGGCCTCTGCACTGCTGTTGCCTTTACCGGAGATCCCACTCCCCAAGTACCTCCACACAGGCGCCATCACGTCCCAGCGTCAGCTTATTGATGCTATTCCCTATAACCACCTCTTCAGTCCCCTTAGCCTGCTTTACTTTTAATCCACCACACTTCTCTCACCACCTGATATACTGTGAAATTTCTTGTTTCCTTCATAACTTTGTACTATACACACCAGGAAGGCAGGGAATTTTGTGTGTTCCCCACTGGTATGTTCCTAGCACTTAAAACTGTGTGTGGCATGTAGCAGATACTTAATAAACACTTGAAGGATAAATAAGTGAGTGAGTGAATGAATGAATGAAATACTCAGCAATACCCCCACTGCCTCATAGCATCAGCGGTCTACAGAGGCCAACTGAGGCTACAAAGCTACTCTCCTATTCCATGACAACACTATTTCCCTACCATAGCTGGGACTCAGTGCTGCCTGAAGCTTTTACTCCTTCAGGGTCGCATTCACTCATGAAATACTTTTCTGCCTTCCTAAGGGCTTGACCATACTACTAGCTACCTCTCATGCTCAGTAAGACACTTTCACGAGAAAGAAGAATCTGGGCAGCCAACAGGACTTTCCAGAGATCCCAGACTGCAGAGTGAAAAGTCTACTCCCCCGGACTGTCCCCCTCCCGTTCACCCCTTGATATTCCTGCTTAACAAATACTTCTAATTGCCTCTCCTGTTAGACTGTAACTCACCAATGGTAGAGTCTTCCCAACTACAGACTAGCTTTTGCCCTGGCTACCCCACAGGAACCCTCCAGTTCAGGGTACTCAGTGAACCCCAAACCAGGCCTGTCTTCTCTACAGCATATGGTCCTCCTTATTCCTTCCACTGCCCTCCTGGACTGTGGTGTTCTGGACCTTTCTCAGCTGCTTTCACTGGGTCATGCTTTGCTATCTGCTCCTCATACTGGGACTCTCCAGAGCCCAGTGTCTAATGGGACCTAGATTTAACTGTCCTGGGAAATGCTGATATTATGCAAATCTTTACCCTCACAGTTAATCCAGCTTCAAAATGCTTCAAAGACCTCACAGCCCACCTATCCTGTCCTTCCTTCTAGCCCTCCCTGTAACCCTGCAAAAGAACCCCTCCATCCCGGCTCCAGATTATAGTTAATGACATCCTCTTATTAGCACCCTTTCCACTTCTAGGGGATAACTTGAATCACCTTCAATCTTATTCCTTTATCCCTATCCTCCTTCTCTCCTCTCAGCCCATGCCCCCTCCCCATGGTGGTCAACAAACCCTGTGAAGTCCACCTAAACTCTTCAGGATCTCGAGGTTAGATGTGACCCCAAAGCTCGGCCTACGTGTCTCATTTCAGACTTCACTCTCTTCCGCGCTAAGTGGTTTTCCTGCCTCAAATTCGTGTTCCTTGAATTCTCCCCTTGAACCACCACCAGTGATTATTCTAAAGATTCTCCTCAGGCCATGGCAAAGAGGTCAAACTCCCACGGGTGGCAGTCCAGGGCCTTCTCCCGGGCACTGCTGGCCTCTCAGGCACCATCCCCTGCCACGTTCCCAGCAGCAGTCCTGTAGGCCATTCTCTCTAGCCTTGCTCACTGTTCCTGAAGCACAGTCTCCCACGCACAACTCCTTCTCATGGGGCCACTTCAGATGCCACCTTACACCCAACCCCTTCACAACACCCCCAGGTGTTATTACATGAATCTTCCTCTGATCTTCAGCATTTGGAGAACTGCAAAAATCTCTCCTGCGTGGCAGTTAATGTGTAGCTGCTGGCAGCTCTACTAGTTCTCAACACTTACGGAGCTTCTGTCATGTCCCTGACACCGGGTTAAGTAATAAGGACACTAAATTAATAAGATATGGACCTCCTCAAGGAGAGTGTGCTGGTGGAGAGACAGAGAAGTAAACACATCTTCCAAAGGCATCAGTCACAAACAGTTTGGTGCCACTGGACTGTGAAGCACAAGGCGGGGAGCAGACATGGACAGGGGCCATCTCTTAATCCCTGACTCATTAGCACTCTCCATAAAGCATAATGCTTGAGGAAATATTTGCTGACAAAATAAACGGACAGCATGCAGAGAAAATGATCCTGAAACCTGTCAGGAGGATTCTAGAACGGCACCCTGCCTCACCTCCAAATTAGGAATCTTGTGCCGAAAGCAGGTAATGAAGACGACAAAGGGCCAGTCGTCTGGCTGCATCATCACGCCGGCAGCCTGGGCACAGCTCACGTGGAAGGCAGTCGGGCAGCGGCCGTGGGAACACTGCACACAGCAGCCCGCGGTTCTTTTTCTCCGCTTCTTGCAGAAGACACATTTCTGCAACACAGGGAAGAAAGCCTGTGATTCCAGGAACTGACAGTACAGCCTCCTCTACTGTTCCCTTCCCATGTGCACAGAGTTGAACTACCAAGAGCCAACCCCTTCCAGAACCTCAGGCACTCACAACCTGCCCTGATCTCACCTCTGGTTATGGGTGTTCCCATTGGGAATTTAACCAGGGTTAAAGGTGATCACTAGGCCCAGCTCAACTGACTCGTTTTCCTCCACCCAGAGACTTGTACTAGGGTACCTAAGTCCACAAGCCCATCTCTTCCTCCTTACCAGTTTGAAGCGGGGCAGAGGAATCTTGCTCACATCCACCGGGCTTCTTTCTGCAATGTTGACAAATCTTGCTTCCAGAATCGCCACAGCACATGAAACGTGGACCCACCTGTCAAAGGCGAAGGCTGTCTCAGTCACTGCCTGGCTCAGGGCACTGCGGTCTTTTCTCCTAGTGTGGGCCTGTGACACAGTGCTTCCTTTCCCACCCAGTGAGACCATAACTTTCACCAGCACAATTGTGGGAGCCAGAAGGTAAGGACCAGAGGGTCACTCTCAGTGAACAGTTCCCGACCCCACTGCCCGGGTTAGCGGAGGGCCACACTTTTCAACCCACTCTCTCACGGTCTGTGCAAAGTAAGCAGAGCCACCGCTGATTGAGTGTGGCAGGTTTCAGGGCGGGAGGAGAAATTGGAGAGCTCTGCAGACCTCCTGTACCACAGGACCCGAGCACTTCCTGCAAACACCACCAACTGGGCCCCATCTGCCAGTAATCACAGCACTCCCCAAGGCCCTCCATACGCAAGCCTGAAATGACCTCTCCCTTCTGCTCCCGTTATCCACAGCAGACTCACTCTTCAAGGTCTGGCTCAAGCCCCACTGATTCTGAGAGGTCAGCCCAATGGACATCTTTAGAGAATGACTCCAAGTCCTAGGCATTGTGGGAAAACTACATGCACCAAGGAGATCCACTAAAAAGGTAAAAGTTCTTAAAATCAGGCCATGTGAAAACCCACAACAGACGATGTCAAGCTACACGGAGACGGAGTGCACACCAGCAGAGCTGTCGTGGGGGAGTGGGAACAGATTGCCTGTGTGGCCTGGCGGGCGGGACGGGAGCACAGCTGCCAAGAACACTGTAAGGAACACAGTGACCTCAAGTGACTGAAGCAAGCGCCTCTGAAGGATTGGAAGCAGCAGGCAGAAAGGCCCTCTATCTGGAACAGCATGGTGGGGACTGCTGCGAGCAGAGGCTGGACAGTACATACTGGTGAGTTCCCATGGGACTTAACCCGGAAACAGGATAGTCACCACTGGGGACCCACCAACTCTTTAGACGGCCAGCTCTTCAGGGCCATAAATGCCACCTTCCGTTCCCTCCTTCCTCCCTTCTTTTGGAATTGCTAGAGGTTGCAAGCACTCACCAAAGAGAGTGTGTGTTCATGTGCACCCCCAAGGGGGTGTGGTCACCCCGCAATCCCTTTTACTCCATTTCTCCATCCCATCAACATTTTGGGCATGTGGGCCAGTGGACTGCATAGTGGTTAAGGCACATGGATCCCATATGGCTAACTGCATGGTTCAAGTCTTGGAGCCAGCAGCTTGAGAAACACACCAGGTGTGTGTATGTACGTGCCCAGAGTCCTGAGAGGAGAATAAAGGAGAGGGGACTGTAGCTTGGAGCTCTCTCTCTGTCTCTCTGTCTCTGTCCCTGGTAAGCATACAAATTCTATAGCGCCCCCAAAAAGGGGGGGGTGGCATTCATGCATACGCAGGGTGTTTTTCAAGATGCCAGGGCCAGGATTCAAACTGCAGTTGGCCATATAAGATCCCACTCCCTAGACACAGGGCTAACTGCTGTGTTATGGGGTTGGCCCCGTTCGTGTTACATTTCTACCTCAGAAAACTAAACCTGAGACTGAGCACAAACACTTAGCTCCATGAAAACGAGCTGCCTGGCTGAGAAGCCAGAAATTTCTGCAGGTTTGATTCGCCAGTGAGTGGGCTAGGCTGGGCGCTCTCCTATGTCCTATTCTTCCCCGAGGATGCGCACTCTCGTTCCACAGAGCACGTCGGAGCCAAGGAGCACCTGCCACGAGGAAAAGTGCCCAACGGCCACAGCCACCTCCGCACACCAGCCCCACCTGTACGGAGGTAAATGTGCTCGTGCAGCCCACGGAGTCCCTATGCCACCTTCACAAGGTCTTGATGCCCTGTGAGTCCATTCTTAACTCCTCCAAGAGGACGACGTTACAGAGGGGAAAAGGCAGCTTGAAAGGTCTGAGAGTGCTGGGTCTCCTGGGCGACTCCTCTTTAGCATTAGCCTTGGAGATGCTCTTCAAGCTGCACATGGCGCGCTCCCCACGTCCTCGCAGTCACTCAGAACAGCCACTGCCACGCTATGCCACTGCAGGCGGCTTCAGAACGAGCCCGCACGTCCCAAGACCCTGGCCAGGAAAGCTCACCTGTCGTCATTCGCTCTCTGCAGGGCCCCTCCTCGCAGCGAGCATAAACAGCAGTCCTGCCAGTAAGGGAGATGAGGAAGTTGGTTACCACCGAGTCACTAATATCTAATCTGCTCGCCCCTCCACTTACCCGGGCAACTCTAACCTCAACGTGAGAAATGGTGCAACGGCACGTGGGGCCTCGCCTTCTCAGCCCTGTAACCAGGACTCTCCTACAGAAGACAAAGAAGCCACTCGAGACTAAAGTGCACCAAGTAGTCACCTGACTTAGCATCTTCACTGCTACCGTTAGTAACGACTGAGAGCAGAGTCACGAAAGACGCTCTGCTCAGACTGGAAGCACCACAGGGCTCTGAGGCCTCCCACGCAGGCACTGCCGGGTTCTGGGGGCTAGAATGGGGTGGTAGAGACGTGAAAGCTGCAAACTCGACGATCTGAGCCCTATCCCGAGGCTCCAACTCACTGGCTAAATTCTTAAAAGGGGTTAAGGTCCCTCCACTAGGAGACCTTTACTTGGTCTTCACCCAATGGAGCAAGCACAGCTTCCAGACTCCAGCCATGCCCTGCTACTAGTGGGCACAAACACTGTTACCGTCCTCAGACACGTTCTCCGCTTCACTCTGTACCAGGGTGGCGAGATTGCTGGGGTATAAAGTCCAACATGAGGTGGTCTGGCCCTGATCGTACCACAAGTCTGATGGGAAGACAGTAACAGCGTGGGAGCACTCACCTCCTCCAGGGCGTTGGCAGAACACCGGGAACACATCCAGTCTTCAGAAGCCTTGGCAGGGGGTACCCCGTAGCAACCTAACAAAGACACAGAGAAGAACACATTGAACCCAGGGGTCAGAGCTAGAACGTGGGTCTACAGTTCTCTTCCATATGCCATCTCTCAAAGGTACGGGCAGAGATTACAGACATTCCTGAATCCTGGGTCCCCTGGACTCAACCGTACAGCATGGCCCAAAGTCTCAGAGAGTCACAAACTGTACATTCACTGGTGCGTGTACCTAGTAACACGAACTAATCCCTTCCACACCTGCAACTCAGAGGCCCGCACACGGGAGCAAGCGTGGACCTTGAAGTCATGGTAAAACTCAGCCCCTTCGGGACCAACGCCCAAGAACACGTGAGCATCCTCTGCGCTGAGGGGCCGGGGGCACCAGCAGGAGGCGGAGAAAGGTGAGAAGCACTTACTGGCATGGACCCGGACACTGCACTTCTTACAGGAAACTAAAATGCTGGTGCCGTCCTCCTCGAGGTAGGGGGTAGAAAGGTTGATGTCTGTGCTGCAGCCGGTCGAGGTGAAACACATTTCTGGAATCAATGGCTTGGTCCTCTGCTTCTGAGGGGCTAAATCTGGAGGATTTCCGCAGTTCTGACTAAGGCCTCCGAACTCCACCTAAGGGGCGAGAACGAGCGCACACCACATGAGCACACGCCGTGTTCTCAGCTTCCCACCTGCTCCATCAGCAGAAAGCTGGCTCTCTCACGGATAGGCGACGGCGACGGCTCCCGGGTGCACAGCTATTATCCCGGAGCGACTAATTGAAGTTACCGCTAATGACTCAAATTCAATTTCTCACAGCGGCATCAAACAAAGGCCCCGGGGGACAACTGAGAAAAGGGAGCGAGGTAAGAGGCAACTGGGATCTCAGTCTCCCCAAACCAAGGGGTAATAAAATGCAGAGAAGTCAGCAGCCAGGCTGCCGCACTGGGCTCCCCTATGGGCTGTGCCACATGGCAGCCTCACCCCAGAGAGCACCCGGGGCAGGTGCCCCTCATGGCCAGCACTGCCTGCCTCTGACAGCTCCCGTCAGCAGGTCACGCCGTCTGATTCCTGGCTCGGGGTCCCTCCAAGACATCCCATACTCCTCTTGGCCAAATGTACTGAGTGCGAGTATCTGCTGGCTCTGCCACTGGATGGCACTGTCACACCCATTTCAAGAATGGGGCCCAGAAACATCCCAGCCCTCGAGCCTATGCCATTCATCAGCTCTGACCCACCCCCCACCGCAGGAGATCTGCTGACATTGACAACCAGGCCATTCACTGTTCTCGCGGGCAATGGCTTAGGCAGTTCTTTGGTTTTGTTTTTTGTTAATGGAAAGAAGTAGGTTTCTAATCCAAAGTGAGAGTTCGTTTTTTTGGCAAGCATGAACCTGGGGCCTCTGCCAGGCCCGGCAGCAGCCATGCCACCTTAATCACTCTGTACAGGCACAGCTTACTTACCCACCACCCTGTGCAGGTTCCAACTTAGGTAGCTGGTCACCTGCCCCTGCTACCACTTATGGCTTCTTGGCCTCCTAAAGATGGGCCCAAAGATCCAAAGTGAGAGTTCGTTTTTTTGGCAAGCATGAACCTGGGGCCTCTGCCAGGCCCGGCAGCAGCCATGCCACCTTAATCACTCTGTACAGGCACAGCTTACTTACCCACCACCCTGTGCAGGTTCCAACTTAGGTAGCTGGTCACCTGCCCCTGCTACCACTTATGGCTTCTTGGCCTCCTAAAGATGGGCCCGAAGAGAGCCATGACAGTGGAGCCATAACCCCAGCGTGGGAAGAGCACAACTAAGTTCAGCAATCATTGCGCCTTGCCCCACTCCAATCATGCCCTCTGCTTCTACCCCTCCCAAGTTCCTCGTGGCCACTGTTAACACTCACTGTGGCAAGAGGAGAGAAAACGAAGACAATGTTAGAGGACCTTGCTTTTCATGTGAGGTTTATATTGTACTAAGAAAAAAAAACTGCAGGGCTAGCTAGTGTCGTGGTGGTTAGATTACACATGACTGACTGTGTAATTCAAGTCCTAGACCCAGTAGCTTCAAAAACATGCCAGGCACATGTGCATGCATGCCAAAATCACAAGAAGTGAATGGAAGAGAAGGGACTCCAGTGTGGCCATCCCCCCATGAAGTGATTTTTCACTTTCCTTTTCTCTCCCTGTCTCTCTCTCTCCAGTGAACACACACATGCCCCAGAGGGGAAAAAAAATTCGCAGTCCTCGCCCCAGCCATAATGGTGCACACTTTTAAGAGCCTGAGCCTCGCGGGCTGGGATCACACAGGAAACCCAGCTCAATTCCTCATCCTTCCTCATCCAACCTAACGGCCATGAATGGTGGTGCGCGAGCATAACCCCAGCAACCCAGGGAGGCTGAGGCAGGAGGACCGCAAGCTTGAGGCCAGCCTGGGCAACACCGCAAGACTCTGCTTAAGACAAGAGCTGGCACTCAGTGTGCGTGCCTACAGGCCTCGGCTGGGAGGTGCAGCTACAGCCCCCCATGCTAAAGTCTAGCCAGGACCACAGCCACCTGGCAGGAACCAACACCAACTAGAATGGGAACAAAAGCCGACTGCTCAGTGAACAGTGAGGTCTGCGAGGAGTCATGCGCAAGGGGGCCTAAGTCACAGCCTCGGCTGTCTCCGAAGCATTCCAAGGGAAACCCCATGCTGCTGGTTATCTGCCTAGAAAAGCCTTGCTGTGCATGGATGGGGTGAGAACGAGCTCTCCCCAGACAACCAGTGACAAGCTCTGCACCACGGGCTTACCTGGTGGTAAGTCTGGAAGATCATACAGACAGCGCAGTGTGGGGCCTGCTGGGCCATGGTCTCATTGAACTCCTTTTCAGCCTCGAAGTTGGGGGGTCGGTTCTGCCACAGTTGGCTGAGAGGCTTGGCCCAGGCTTCTGTCTCCTCAGCCTCCTCCTCGGGGGTCAGCTGTTCAGATGTCTCTAGAAGAGGAAACAGAAACAGGAGTCGGCACTAACCCTGCACATCTGTTGCTCTGCCTGGAGAGACCAGCTGAGCCGGGACTCCTGGGCCGAGGTTTGGACAAAACCCAAGATGCCTAAGGTTGATGAAGGCAAAAGGTAGAAGCAACTCCTTCAATACCTGGATGACATCATGAGGAGTCCTGCCTATAACCCTTGCTGTGGCCAGGCAGATTCATGGCTCCTACCCCTCCTCCTGCCCCAGAGCTGCCAGACTCAACCCTTCTGTCCAAGGGCAGCAGAGTCAAACACCGCCTTGCCAGAAACCGTGCTATTTGCTGCTTCCAAAATGCCGTCATGTTGGCCCAACTCTGCCACAGTGCAGGCGGGAGGGTGCATGTGAGACCAGAAGCCCAGCTTTAGTGCCCAGCCCCACCTGAACAGGCCAGGTGTGCAGTGGTACACACCTGTAGTCTGAGCTAGCTGGGAGGCTGAGGCAGGAATGGTGGTGACATGGCCAGACCGTCAGAAATACCCCTCTTTCTTCATTTCTGCATGTCTCTTTAAAAGGGCAGTGGGGGGACCAGCAGTTAGCGTAATGGCTATGTCGCTGGACTCCCATGTAGTTGACCGCAGTTTGCGTCCCGGACCCTGTGGCTTAAAACACGCCGGGCTCATGTGCGTGAGTGCCCAAGATCCTGAGAGGAGAACGGAGGAAAAGGGATTGCAGCGTGGCCATCCCCCCGGGGGGTGATTGCTCGCTTTCTGTCTCTCTGTCTTCTAGCGAGCGCACGCGCCCTATAGCAAAAACCTCTCTCAAAAAAAAAAAAGGGCAGTGGGAAGTCAGTGCATTAAGTCCTTTACCTCTCAGTTTCCCTCTAGTGTGGAAAGGAAGTAATAAGAAAGGAAATTAACGGGACTGGTGAAGCTTCACGGCTGTTCCGTCGTGGTTCTTGGTCAGGACCTCCAGTTTCCTCTGGAAGGGTCAGTGGGCTACCTGCTGGCCCAGACCGGGCTCCCAGCCCCTTCTGGCTCTGCCCAGAGGGAGGCAGTTTCGCACATCCAAGAGAAACCTCTCTGCAGCCACACGATGTGATGCCCTGCGTCTAGACCAGAGTCTGGCAAATGACAGTCCCCCA